TTCCAAGACCCAGACTACTAGAAGAAACCGAGGTACTTGAATCAGAACAACTGGTTTGTTTTGTGAACCATGCCTTTTCAATTTGCTTCATTCTATCACCTTCTATGACAGTTAAGACTGCCCTCGAAACATCCGCTACAAGAGGAGAACCTTTTGGAAAGACCTATAGATCACAAATTTATTCACAAAAAATCAGCTCCATAAACAGCATGCAGATAAAGTAAATGGGGATAACAGGAAAAGAGAACTCACAAATCCAAAGCCATCAGTCTTAAAAGTTGGTTCCAAGGTGGTGTAATTGCAATATTTTGCAAGAAACAGCTTCATGTAGGGAATTTCATCAAAAGCAGCTGCAATACCGCCGTTTGCACTTCCCTTGGTGAAAAGTTCATTGAGATCATCAGTTGAATTAAAGTTCTTCATATTGGATGGATCGAATCCCAACCTCTGAATGATTCCCTGGACAAAGGAGCCATCGTGGTACCCAACATTCTCCTTTTTCCTTAACAGCTCATTTATGTCGGTCACCGTTGGCTGCAACTGTTGAACTGTCAAAAGAGAAGCTAAGCTGGCCGTGTAACTCTGCGTGAGAATGAGGACCACAAAGCACCATATCACCACCACAAACCTTGCTAGATTGCTCACTACCCTCTCCCCTGAAAACACAAATTAGTTTTAACTCTGGGTTTATGATTCCATCAAACCAAAGAGTTTGAATATGTGAAAGGATTGTTACGTTGTGAGAAAGTCATCGTGGAGAAGGAGAACCAGTAGCTGGTTCCAATGTGATTCGAAGGCGGTCCGCGGAAATCTTCATTGACTCTATGTTCAAGAACCCAGATGATGAATCCGATGAAGACGAAGAAGCAACCACTAGTGATCCAGAGGTCCCATGTCAAAGGCTTCAAGAACACCCATGCGTTCTTGTTCAGGTCTCTTCTAATAGGCACCACCATCACCACTCCAGACTCGGTGAATGGTAACGTGAAGTCAACGTAAGATGACCTGTTTGCCACAATACAGACGTCTCCGACAACCGCGTCGTAGTTCTGTTCAGCAAGGATAGTGTTGTTAATTAAGAAAGCAACACTAGGCCTAATGATTAACAGAGTGAAAGCTAATGCAAATTCAAAAGGACTTACCCCATAGAAGACTTGATTGATTAGTTCATTGTAATCGCCGGCCATCTCGCCGTCGGGCTTTTCAAATGCATAGAAATCATAGGAGACTGCATATGGCATTGCCTCCATGACAGCATTGAAGACATCTATGCAATAACCGAAGGGGGTGACTATTGAATTGGGGATTGTACCAGGTGGTACTTTGACGAATTCGTTGAATCCATTCTTCACCGGAACTCCAATCTTCAACCTCTTTCCGTTCGTCGGAATCTCCCAGCCTTTTGGAACGACCTGTGAATCCCCCGGCCATATGATTGTTCCAAGATTTGATTTGGAAGTGGAATACTCCGTTACATTTCTAGAATCCAATTTTTTAACCACTCCATACTTCCGTGTCCAGAACCCAACCCCCCTTTCACCATTTCCGTTTACATTAATAATCTGGAAAACAGAGGAGTCAAGTTGTCCATTTATGAAACCAAATTCTCCACTTAGGCCTCTAA